GGTGATGCTTTGATCTAGTGGTAAAAATAATGGACAATAAATCATTGGATTGTAAATTATAATTAAACTCAGTATGCAGTTGAAAAAGTAGGAGCATTTTAAGTTGTGCTGTTGTTTTTTTTCCAGTCATCAACTGTCCTGTAATTTGTAACATCCGGTGAGATGACAGTCATAAACACTCCCTACTATTAAATACCCAAGTTAATTAGATTATTATAGTCGGACAAACCAATCATACAATTATTGTGAATCTTGCATCCTAGATTTTACACGGTTGAGTATAGTTATATGGAGAATAACTTGAATTTATAGAAAGTCTAATTCAAAATCAAAATTTAACCCACAGACTCTTAATCATTTATTCATATGAGATTCCTGAAATGGAGTTAAGAATTTTTATTGATAATAATAATAATAATAATCTAATACAGTAGTAAAATTCTAGAGATTCGTTTCAATATCTCCCCGGTTTTAAATGATACTAAACGAATTATTCACATATTGTCCATCGTATTTACAGAATGTGAACGTTTGACTATCATTATTCGTGAAAATTTGTTTTTTGGTTGATAATAATCAAGACTAAATTTGATTTGTCTATGATGATATACATAAGATCCTTGTACGATAACGATTTGATATTTGGAGAGAAGAATACTAGGTTCATGCTTCATTATCATGGGAAGTGATATCTACAGTCTCAAATAGAATGAAACGCGTGATAATCTTATGAATGTTTGTCTGACATATATATCAATATTCGATTGTAACAAAAACTGAAAATTTCAACACAGATAGATTTAGTAGGTTAAGGCGATCCTTCCTCTAATCTATGCCATCATCTTCAGTTAATTTGTAAAGGTCAATATCAATGAAATTCCGTTGAGATTTGAACATTCTCATTCTTTCGTGAATGATGAAAACAGAAGACAATGAACTTTATTATTTAAACGAACGATCCACACTGTACACATGTAAATGTAGAATTAAAATTTTAGTTCGAACCAGTTCGAAAAATTTTCTTCAATGATCCAATATTGTTTTCTTTCAATGCATTATGACACATGGTTATTACATTGGTTTTAAACTTTCCGACTACAAAACATGATAATAAAAATTTCGAATACATACAACATTGAATAGTTTATGAACTGTAAACAGCTTTCATATATTAACTTGATTTATTTCACTATAAACATTTCGTAAAATATTATACTACTAATTATCAATAGTTATGATATGATATGGAATATACATGGGTCAACATGAAACGTGAAATCGTTAATGAAATTTTATACACATGAATGTTGATACCTAATCAACTATTTTTGTGATTGTCAAATATATATCTTTATGGATTTATGTTTGAACTATAGTTTAAAAACAGTTCAGCGCAATCATTACTTGACTATGGCGCAGATTTATTTTGTGTGCCGTTATGTATATAGCAATTAATAGCATTCTGTGCTATTTGGAAACTAATTTGTTTCTGAGATGATGGTGAAGATTTGTAGCTCTAGTAAATTATATTAATGGAGTTTTGTTCTCTGAGTTGGATGGTTTGCTTGTGGAGCTCTCATCGTTCTTCTGAACGACATCAGCACAAAGTTCTCGAGAAATTCGAACATTTCAGTTGCACCTGAAGTTTGTGCTTATGATGTCGTTGAGAAGAACAATTAATGCTCCACCACAAAACTATCCAGAGTTTCCGAAAAACCGTTCTCAGATACAATACTTTTTACTTGGTTGACTTCTTAGCTCATGATTTCTCACTAAAACTCTGAGAAGTTCATCCCATAGCAACTTACTCTTGGGAACATGATTTTTCTATAGAGGCATTTTTCGAAGGTTCCAAAACAAGATTCTCAGACAGAGCTAAAAGAAAAGCAGTAAAATATCTTCAATGTTTACAATAGTGATTACACTATATTGTTAATCCATAGAAGTTATGAGGGATTTTTATTGGATGCCTAGTTCGTGGCTGAATGATATCATTTTTACCATCGGACATGAACTTTCTAGGTTCGATCGCATAAGACATACTTGATACGCGTTTCAGATTAATATAAAAGAGATACCCCCTTGCTTCTTAACTTGACTTCAGTCCGTGAGGTAAAGTATCTGTGAAGCAAATAAACATCGCATATGTGGATAAACAAAATCTTCTGAAAGCGTTGTATCAAGATTCATGAATTTCAAAATCGTTAGATAATAAAGTTTGTGCAACTAAATTTCGTGCATTTCGTTGACTTTCATTTCCAGTCTCCGTTTCTATATGTTATCATACTTACCTTCAAATAAAAACATTTTGTGACTATTTTCAAAAAAGGGGTGAACTTTGCACTTTTAATTCTGGGTGCCTGGAACGCGGTATTAGAACCTTGTCTTCCGTTTTCTTTAGTTTGTTGGACTGAAGACTGGAGATATAGTACGGCATTGATATCGGCCTCAATCTACTATATGGAGGATTCAACGAGTTCTTAAGTTAACTTGTATATACAACTAGGTGTTTTCGTTACACATAACTTTCAACTGTGAACTCATGGTATGCGTTGATTCTGTCTATCGTATTTTAAAGAATATATGGTGTTGTTCAGAGCCTATTCCATGAGCCTGAATATAGTTACTTTGTTGCCTACTCAACACTATCTCTGATTGAGAAACTTACTGTTTTCCCAGTTAACATATCAAGTGTATTGTGAAGAGGAATCAATGAAAAGCTTTGAACTGAAAGGTTTTGTCTGTTATCGATCATTGCTATAGTGTAGTTTTACAATAGAGGAAACACGCGTTTGTGCATGTTATAACCTACCTCAGTTGTCATTACAAACAAATGAACTGTAACTTATTTCTGCTCGTTGCACCTGACCGTTATTTTTAATAACTGGTAATTCAGAGTCACTGGCTCTTGTCCTTTTAAAATTGAAATTCCTTTTATTAATTCTCACTCGTCATTGTTAGAATTTTGTAATTGTCATATTTGTTGCAATTTTCAAGTTAATATTTAAGTAATATATTCCTACTCACATAATATCCCGCCTGATTTTATAGTGATATATTTTTGGTTATCCTAGAGATGCTTCAATGATGTCTATGCGACGAGCTATAGAAGGACTCTCAGTAGAGCAAATTAAAGGTCTTAATACTGCTACACTTAATCAGCCGACACGAATGGCTGATTTCGAAGAAGCAGTCGGTCGTGTGTGCAGATCTGTTTCAGCCAGTGATGTCGAACGGTATGAGAAATGGATGACAGAGTTTGGGGCTACATGAACAGCTGATTTACGTTTACCGATGTGGACTTATACCATTCAAACATATTTGATTGGCTTATCCAGGTTTCTGCCTTGCAAATAAATGTACTTGATTGTCATATCTCAAATCTACGTATCTCAAATTATCAGATTATATGGATACTACATTCATGGCTCAAATGACTGAATAACTGAATCCAACCTTTCAATTAATTACGCTTTACAATTGAGGAAAAAATATATCAGTCGCCATGTTTTCTTGTTGGTTTACAATCAAACGTGTTGGTTCTCCTCTATACTTCCTACCCGTGATGGATATTTTTTCACTTTACACTAGGTAGAATGTTTTTCATTTGATAAATCTTGTATGTCTTTCAGTTGTCCAAAAATAGGCTAACACAATCTTTGTTAATAACTGTGTGGGTATTTTTTAGCCACATATTCGTTCTATAGAACTCCCCAGTGGATTTATTCTATTGACTGTTTAATTGAGAACCTGTGAAACATTCCGACTGAGAACGGGAAAACGATAATTGATTCTGTAAAATCCCTTTCTAATTAGATAACTCCTTATGAGTTGTAAATCGATTGTGTAGCATCGTTGTAATTGCAAATGTAATCATTCAACACAATTTCAACGAACATTTTCCACATTGATTTCACTTTAAGACTAGAAATCTTTTGATCAGCTGTCAATGTAACTGTGCTTTTCGGTCATTCTGCAATACCTTAATATCCATTCCACAATGTACCAAACAAAAACTATGTATTCCTGAAAGTGTCGGATTCAGTCATATGAAGGGGTGCCACATTAGTTTTTAGTGATGATTATTTGTCAGTGAACAATAAATATCACCACCTAACTCAATTGTGCGGTGGTCGTTATACTTCGCATTAGGGCTGTGAGAGTAGGCATACAAAGCTAAAACTTATTGGACAAAATCATCATGACCAATAGTAAGGAGGTGAAGCAACGTTAAGAAATTATTAGGAAGCAAAGCAAAGTATGGAGTAGGATAAATGTTTGTAGGAATATAACAACATGCTCGCCATTGCAATTAATTTTAAGGCGTATTGTTAAACGTTACCGATTGCCAGTTGTTTTACGTAAGCCCACAAAACTGAAAACAACAGAGAATTGTGACATTTCGATGTGGCTACTTCGAGGCTGCTCTCCCATTTCAGATATGTATATTTAATGTGAAGCTACTTTTGTAGCTTGTTGAAGGTGCATGATCTTATTTGGGAGACAGAAACGTAGAGACTGGTTTGTTTGGGAAACCATACTTTAATATATTCTGTGGTGTTCGTGCTAAGTAATAAATGTTTTGTAAATTGTTACGCGTCTATTTGGAATTACTAGGTTACACCTTCAATTCTGCTTACTGTATTGCTTATTACTTGAGTGTTAGTGGATTTGTGACCACTAGATTACGTATTGGACAGTTCTAGGAATTAGCAGTTCATATTACCAAATTCGGTACTACTGCATCTACTCATCACAGTTTTTTTACTTAAAAGATTAACTATTAAGACAGTGAAGTGATATCGAACATGCAGCTCACAATAAAGTGGACAACCTGTACAGACCTCGTTGTAATAGTCATTCACTCAAGATTTCGAATCATGTGTACCGTATGCGTTTGAAGCCAATTTTTCTGACTCACCCAGATCGGAACATTCGACTGGATGTAACACCCACTGTGTGACGGCTTTAATCCATTTGATATTCTTCAAGAGAGAGCATTACTATGGAAGATTCTAATTAATGTGAGTATAACTTTAATAAAACAGTGGATTAGACAAAATAATTAACGTTACATAAAATCAAAAAGTGTACAGGCACTAAAAATGTATATTTGGAATTCAGTAGTCAATAAAATGTGTGTAGTTACTTTGTGTTAGTTATTTTTAAGAAATAAGTTTATGAACTATCTAGGAATTTTTGATACATATGTTTAGTGACCACAGTGATCTTTTCCAGATCCTGGTTTATGACAACCAGTTCCACAATGTTGTGGCTTGTCATGAGATCCATGACCTGCACCATCTTTGTCGTGGCAGTCTTTCACACAGTGTTCAGACGATTTGCAATGATCTTTGTTGTCATGACCATGACCGCCTTCTTCATGATGTTCATGATGATGTTCGTGATGATGTTCAGCTGAAGTGAAGAATATGAAGAAATCCAATTAATCAAGTCTACTATGTGGATGAGCCATCCATTTAATTCTTGTGTGTGTGAGTTAAAAACAGAAAACCGGTCCTTTATAATTAAAGATCAGTTATGGCTTAGTGCATACTCATCTGGTAATAAATATTTTATTTTTGAATAATTATGTTTACTAATGTTAGTACGTCACTGCATAATGCTTGAAGCACAGATTTAGTAAAACGCACGAACGGAAATAAACGTTAACCCAAACTCACACATAACCCTGAAACCTTAAACAACAGTCAAGATTGTTTGTCATGTCATGTTGGTAGTCATGCCTAGGTACATTAATGGTTCGTGTTGTCAAGAAATTAACCACTGACATTGATTGTGAATACAATCTGTTGAAAGCATTTCATATTAAGATAATGTGAAGTTAATATTTATAGACGTTAAATAATTAGGCTTTGTGTAATGTACGAACTTAAACTATGTAGTCTACACGAGGGACATCCATAAGTTTTGATATAATTATTTAACACATGAGCTGAACATATGACGCTCCAGTGAAACAGTAGTAGACATGGTAATCACTAGGCATTGCCAGCATTCTAATTGTTAGTTGATTTCTGTCCACTATTCTTGTAAAGCGATTTGGAATGTGGTGACTACTTGCAAACATCTAACGTACATTTTATGGTTCATTTTGGACAACACTGGAGGTCAATGAAGATTACTGTATACTTCAGAACTGAGTGATGCTGGTACAAGTGTTCTGAACGTTGTATTCAAATGTTGTTCGTTAACCACACGTTTGGTTAATAGATCCAAAGATGGTATTATTAAGGACGAACAGTTTATTTGGCTATACCCGGAGGTGAGTGAGTGTGAGACTAGTACTAGACTGGATATCGAGTGTATGAAAGAGGCGTCCCTCATGAGTGGTGACACAACAAATGGAACTTTGACCGTGAGCTCTTAGCTAGTTTAGTAAGGTGAGCAGCTGTGTCTAAAATATGCTGAACTGCGGGATTCGATGAGTTGTTTAAATGAATTAGTTTGACAATCAAATGGTTAGAGTTCAGTCCATCCATGAGGAACCATAGGTGGTGATTGCACATCGACAATACAATTTCGGTGTGCAGAAGATGTAGTCTTTTCAAATGACTCTCGACACTTCGATGAATAATAGCTGTCGAAATCTTTTGCTTAGTTATTATCATATACTGTGTATTAGGAGATCGATTCCTTTAGTTAACTTACAAACATTACGTATTGGGTATCGTATAATGGAGGTGAGTAGCTGAAAGTCTTGCGTGTAGAACTAATGCTTTGTTAAAATTCACTGGAAAGTGTATTTGCATCTCAGAAATAGCACACCTCGAATATTTCTAAGTGCATCATTGAGTTATCGAAGAAGTTTATCTCTGGGTAATACAGATTCGAGCATTGTAAAACGGAATTCATACTACGGATTTTCTCGGTTAAAATGTCGTATAATTACCTCAACTGTTTGGTCGTGTGAACATTCGTCAAGCGTTTGAAGTAATGGTCGGTAAAATTATTTTCCAGCGGAAATGTCAACAATTTGTCAGGTGCACATATCCGTATTCAGGAGAATACAAAATTGTGCACTATCCATCTCTGAATATTGACACAAAATCTTCGCAAGCACTTATCATGTGAAATATGACGTGACAAGTGAAATCCATCTTCGTCGTTAACCATAACAATGAGTGGGACTAGTAGTCAATACAGTGACTCCTATCAATGAAGATACTTCTGCATAAATGCGTTTGGCTGAAACCGAATGAAGAGTTTTTGTGTCTGGAGAGGCAAGTTTATGACAATCAAAGTGGTTAGTGTCAAGAATGCTTATGTGATATGTGATGAACCAAACCTGTTATGTAACTATGTATTATTTTACTATAGAATAAGATTTAGACATGAAACTACATTAAATGTTGTTAAGTCAATGTTTAGCTCTGAACTGAGCCACCATTGCTTATGGATTCCATCTGTGATCAATAATTCACCCGTTTTCTTAATAACATAAAAATAGTTGTTTTTGGTTGAATAAGTTTGTGAAGGAAACAGACATAGTTTTACTGCAAACTCAAATGTTAGACGAAATTGTTGAATAGAATGAGTGCATTTAACGTGATCAAGACTTTGCAACAGTATTTAGTTACCGGGTAGAAACAATAGCAAACTGTTGGTTTTACATGTGCTAGTAGACTTTGATCAATAAATAGATACAATCAAGTCATCCAAATGCATAATACTACTTCAACCCCATTCAACGACATGAAATGTCGTTGATACTCGATCCAGATATTTCGACTACTAACATGCTAAATCTCTACCAGTTTGTCATTCAAAACGAACCATCTGCAAATGCCATGTGTTAGGACCACTGAAAACCAATTCTATATTTACCAATACCGTGGTTTTACACTACACTGTTGGACAATTAGACTCAGTATACTAACAAACTTTATTACTACTCAAGTACCTCAGCATAATCATTACAATAGTATGAGTTAAGGCATAATTTTAAAAAAATATATTTCACTTACCTCCATGAGAAGACATAGTTGACAATAACTGCTGTTTAATTTACGAGTTACTTCATGTTCTGCTCGTGCACAGCTTCGTTTATATAATGGAAAATTTACTTCCGGTTTGATTAATTAATTACCCAATATCAATTGTTGTTATGTTGTGGTTGGTTAGATATCTGCAAATTGTTTCAATGAACTGACAGTTTATTCATATGTATCAACCATACAATTCATGAATTAATTATCATGTTTCATTCTATTTAATGCAAATATAAAATATTTGGAAGTGATTTCGTTTGAATAAACAATTTATATGTTGAATTTTTCAGTTTGACATTATTATGTTGACCTAAAATTAGTCCGCAAACAAATTTTATCCTGAAAATAAATAAGTAAATCTACGTATATTTTAATGTATATTTCATTTCTCCATCCATTTCGGTTGCAATCGTACAGTGAGCTGCCTCAGTGTAGATGTTTGTCATATTGCAAGCATCTCATTGACCAAATTTCAAGTATAACTAATTAATGAGCTTTAGTGTTTTAATAAGCCGAAGCTAGACAACATTTGAGATGGAAAATGAAATTAATAATTTGATGATTTGGATCATTTCATGAGACAATCTGAGAGTGGTGTGTAAACTAATTGAACTTAAGCGATCCTGAAATCCCCATAGCAAGGGACTTTGTTGTCTGATTTTAATATTGCTGCAATCTAGTGAACATTCAGTTGCACTGAAGGGACTCACCGAGTACCCGAAGTATCGTGCGAAACTCAGGGAAGCGGAAACTGTTGGATTTTGTTCGTGATTACATTGTTATACATGGTTTTCTTAAGCAGTGTTTTAAATCCCCTCGTCGATGTAAGATTAAACATAATGTTAGTTCGGTGAGAAGATATTTCTTGAGCCGAACTGAATCTCTTCAAATTCATATATAGTTGAGTTAGAAGAGAGTGTTACACATAGATCACGTGCTAATGAAGTCCTAGATGTACAGCGAACCTGAGGAAATGAGAGAATTCTCGTGGACAACGGACTAAACAACCAAATGTTCAAATTTGATCTTCCGTGCGACTGTAACCGGAATGATTTTAGCTTCTGCAAGTCTCGATGGGACTCAACTAGACATTTGTTCAATTCTGTAATTGTAATCTTATAAGTGTTTGGTGTTTTCTTCAAGATGTTTACCTTATATTCTTGTGATTTTTTAGTGAATATGACCTCTTTATTCTTATCGTTCTTTCTAGTGTTCTTGTTTTTGTGTTGCGTGCTATCTTGAAATTCGATTTCTTTACCGCCCTTTCTTATACAATTTTTTTGTAATTTATACTACGGTAGTCAGACTCTGCATTTAGGTGTATAATCTTCACTGATGATAACATTTTGAATGCTAGAATAGATTGCTCTAAGATATTTATGAAACACTTACACAGTTATTCATACTATTCAATATGTATATCATTTTTTGAATTTCATGTCATCAGTTATCTGAATATTTTAGCATCTTTGGATAGTGTTACTGAGACTGCTTTATATTATTTCTTTTTCCATTTGTTTGGATTTGGCCTCTGGCGTATCAAATAAGAATAGTTCTTGATTGATTCAATGCTATTATGTTTCACTTTTTGAACGCGTCCACTTTCATTGTTGTTTGATTTCTTTTAGTGACATTTACCTCATCCGGTATTTCCAGTTAATGAATGATCGTATTTTCTTTATGAGCTTTGAGTATTTTGTTAGCTTGATTTTGTTTAAGGAATAGATTGATGAAATCCAGTTTTCTGAAAACCATGATTAGCACAACAAGAATGGTATGAATATGTTTCACCCGAAAGGCTGTTCTGTGTCAGTGTATAGTCTCTCTACATTGATCAAGGTAGTTTAGAGTGTTTATTTCTTCAGTTATCTTGGTTGTCTCCTTATCAGTAGTGAGTAAGTTATTGATGAAATTGAGGCAAGGTACGGAGTGATTACATGGATATTTTTATTCGCGCAATTCGTTCACAATCCAGAGTTTCCTATACTTCCGATTCTAGATATGTCAAACACACCATAACACTCAGCAGTGCGAAAGTTGGTGAAATTACAGAAATAATTACACCGAAACTTCATGAGATATACCGTTAAAGACGTTTTTAATTTGTAGATGTAGTGAAAATGTGAATATCACCGACAAAACTGTTTTCTCTAGACATTACATATAGCTTCAGGGATATTCCACTGACAGAAACCATCGATTACACATGCGAACAACTTTTAGAACATAAATCAAGGATACTGTGGTGTTTGAATGAACTAATGACTCCTTTGTACTTGTTGAATGTTTGATTTCGAATTCTAAATACAGTACATTCGTTAGTGCTTGTGTAGTACTTCTTGATTCAATTGCGTTATCCCTGTGATTCTTAGTTCATACTATAATTCAATTACTTCTAATTATCATATTGGCGTCGCGATAGAACCTGCGATGGAACAGTTAAATATTCATTCAACTTCTGAAGCTTTTGAAGATTATTTGGAAAGGTTTGAAATCTGGAGCATGACCAAGAAAGATGTTGAAGGTGATAAAATTGTGGCACATTTCCTGACATTCATCGGAAAAGAAGCATACAGCTTATTGAAAACTTTGGCATATCCAGAAAAACCTATCTCACTTCCTTATGCAACTATTAAGGAGTTATTATTAAATCATGTAAAGTGCATTAGTTTTGAATGCCGTGAAAGGGCTAAATTTCATAAGATGACTCGTCGAAATGACCAAACGGTTAAGGAATTCATCCTTGAATTGCAGAAACAAGCTGCCAAATGTAATTTTGGTGATCAACTTCATGTGCAACTGAGAGATCGATTAATTGCAGGAATTAACTTGCCGGGTTTGGAAAGAGAGCTGTTAAGAATGCCGAACTGTTCCTTTCAAGATGCTAGAACTGCGTGTATTGACTACGAGGCAGTGAATGAACTTGATATTCAGTCGATGAATATTTCTAATACTTTGCTTAATCGTCATGATGAAATACAACCTCAGGGTCAATCGAAATTGCGTTCGTTTAACAGTGGTTCCTATTCTCGTGTAAATATGAAAGATATCTCAACAAGAAATTACAAAGGAAATCACAAAGGTGAGACCAAGTTTGGCAAATGTTTATCATGTGGAAAAATTCATTCTCGTAATTCATGTGCATTTCGTAATGCTAAATGTTTTAGATTTGGTAAGATAGGACACATTCAATCAGTATGCAAAGCTACTATTCATTTTGCCTCAAGTAGTACTAAATCTTGTAATTTAGATCCCAGTGATTCAGCTGTTTTTAATGATCATTTATCTTTGTCTACTGTTTCGAAAGGTAATGCTCATATTCAAAAGCGATTATATACATCGCTTGGTTCATGTTATGACTTTATTGTTGACACAGGCAGTATAGAGTCCATTATTTCATTCAAGAACTTGAAATCTTTAGATCCTAATGTTGTGGTACGACCCACTGAGGTATCAATATTGGGGATTACTGGACACAGACTGCCTATACGAGGATGTTGTGAGTTGCTAATAAGAGATGATAATTCTTCGTACATACCTTGTGAATTTTTAGTTAGCGAAACAGGACTGTCAATACTGGGCTTTAGGAATTTGAAAAGGCTTAAAGTGGAGCTGTCTTTCCTAGTTTCTAAAGAAAATAATGATGCTTTACTTAAAGATTTGATAGCCACGTGTGCTAAGTGCAGTGGAGGTATGAAGATTCAGCCTATAAAACTTCAAGTACAGGGTGAACCAGTATTTCTTAAAAGACGAATAATTCCTTATTGTCTTCGAGAGGCAGTACATAAAACATTAAACGATTTGTGTGCGAAAGGCATAATTGAACCGATCCAGTCCTCAGCATGGGGTACTCCTATTGTTACGCCACTGAAGTCGGATGGCAAAACCCCTAGAATATGTGGTGATTATAGATTAACACTGAATTCCCGTTTGTTGAAGCAAACGTGCACGACGGTAGAGGCTGAAGATATTCTAAATCGACTTCATGGTTCTAAAGTGTTCTCGAAAGTTGACCTAAAAGATGCTTATCTCCAAATCCCTTTAGATCAATCATCATCTCTTCTGACGACAATTAATACTCCTATAGCAACTCACATTCAATTGAGTTTGCTCTCACCTAATTCGGTTAAGCCCTTTTATTAACTTATTAAACGGACAAAGTCACCTGCACTATAATAACTTATTGTATCCTTATTACTGTTGCGAATGTATGTACCTTTATTATTGTTATCCTTGTATGAATATGTATGCTCGGCAAGCCTTACTGCCTACGCATTTATTCACGCTACTAGCTTTACTATTAACCGCTTAATTGACTCGATGATTCATTAATTTCACTATGTATATATATGTCCATGTTATTCATATTCATGACTCGCTCGCTCGTTCATTCACTCGCTCGATCGCTCGATCGTTCATTCACTCGCTCGATCGCTCGCTCTTGCCCTTGCTCTCTCTCGCTCGCTCGCTTGCCTGTTTGCCTTTCGGCACAACTATTTCATGCTTGCTTAACGCATCTGTAATTTTGGATATCTGTATGTGGTCCCTTAATAGACGTAATTAACGCTTCGTATTCGCCTTCTGATTAATATACCGTTGGAGCATTATTTGGTGACGGTTACCGAGACGAACTGTATACGGAGTTTAAGGAATATATCGAACACCGACCACCGCAGAATTGGTGATCCCAACGTGCGAGCAAGAATCAATCTTCGAAGACGTAATCCAACTCCGAGAATTCAACGCACTTTATTTCAATTCGAGCTAGCATTTGGATTATAATCATTGCTGTGGATTTATTATGTCACCATTTTAATTATACGTACATTATCACACAAACATTATTGAACATAACGATAATATTCATAATACACAACGATATTTTCCAAACAATTGATATTTTGGTGCAATTTAGTAAGTCCGTTCCTTGTAATTAATTGTACCATTTTGTATTATCATTGTTTTTTCGATTTACTTCTCTCCGTGACATTTACATTATATACGTATAATTTTTGATCTTTATAATCATGTCTTTAAATAACGACACAATAGACCTTCCACAAATTTCGTCCGTGAGGTCCTTGAATGTAACTATTCC